ATTGTGCGACGGTGACGTTAAGACTACCCCGGATTTAATAAATGGATCGTCCAGCATCATCATGCATCTGCGCCCTGTGCTACAGATTTGAAGTGGCGTATCATTTGCCATAGATTGGCTAAATTGGCAGGCTCTAATCCCAATACAATTTTGAATTAGGCTGCATAAATGATTGGCGTAGAACAAATTTACAACAACGTAATGAAACTAATCCTAAAAAATTTAAGCTATAAAATAATATAATCGTGACAATGAAATTCTTCACATGAGAAATCATCATTGCCATCAGTTTTTTTTGATTTTCCCACACGACGAATTTTCTTTTTTTATATTTTTCAGTTTTTAGATTTTCCCACGCGACGAAAAAAAATTCTTTTTCTTTTAAAAAAAAAATCCACCTTTTCTTTTAAAAAAATTTTACATTTAATTTTTAATTTCTAGTACCTGCACAGCTCTCAACAATTCTTTATGCTTTGCTGAATGTATTAAATTGTGCCAGAATAGTAAACAAATCATAACCAAATCGTGCAAGTAATCGCGAATTTTTAGTAATTATTTGGATAAAATCTAGTCTATATGCAGTTACTGCGCATTAAGACGTTCAACAATCTATTTTTCAACCAATCCGACGTATCTATTATCAAAGTCGTTACGACTTTTAAAATTTTTTTTTGAATAATTTTAATTATATTTATAAAATTTAGTAAACGTAATGTATAATTGTATAAATATATTGTAATTGCATCATTAAGTCATTTTAGTAAATATGAAATAATACATTATATAACCTTGAATAAATGTTTCTTATAAGTCAATAATTTTCAAATCCGTGACTACCACCGTGTACTATTTATATCAACTTCATTTATAGGGTGGATCGTTTGTGTATCTCAAAACCTTTAATTCGGCATCCCCGGCCAATTCAAATAAATCCGAAGGTGAAAAAAAAGAAGTAAAAGCAATTAATAACCCAATTTCTTTAATTAAGAAAATCAAAGTTTGAAATAATTCCAAAACTTACCACATATCTCCAAATTACAAATATGAAACTCCAAAAAAAGAAACTTCCAAATTAGAAAAGAAAAAATCAGAGTTTCACAACAGCGAAACCTACCATTTTCTGCCCAAAACCTACAAAAAGATAAAAAAAAAAATTTTAGTAAAAAGTTTCTTTTAAAAAAAATAACAAAACAAATTTAAAACTTACCTAAGAATCCACTTTACAGAAACTTCAAGATCGTAGCGATGGCTTAATGCGCAGTAACTGCGTTATAAATACATAGTGACCACATTATGTAATCGTAAAGAAATTACATATATGCAGTTACTGCGCATTAAGCCATCGCTACGATCTTGAAGTTTCTGTAAAGCAACGCTTAATTTGGAGTTAGAATCTACAAAGAAAAAAAGAAACTTTAATAAAAATTTCTTTAAGGAAAATAAAAAAACAACTTTTGAAGTCCTTCAAAACTTACCCATGGATCCAAAGCCAAATCCAAAACTGGATCCTACAAAATATAAAAAGAATAATGTTTTGAAAACTTAGAAGTCGGAACCAAGCAACCAGCCTTCTGGGAAGCTTTCTAAGAAAAAGAAAAATGCACTGTTAGTACAATTCACTTTCATTAAAGAAATAGTCTAAACTGTCTGTCTAAAAAATAAGAGGAGTATCAAAATATTAGTAAAGTATTATATTAAATAATAATCAATAAAATATTTCTAATTCCTCACCAAGATACACCGTGTCAAAAGGCCTTGTTACTTAAGAGAAATGAAAAATCAAAACTTAAGTAAACTATTCTATCAAAAGAATAAATCAAAATATCTGATTTCTCACATAACCAAAAGTCCGGCCATCTAAGCAAAAGAGAAAATCAAGATGTTGGTAAATGTTTCAGTATATACAGTATATAATTAAAAAAAGAATTCCTCACACGTCCAAAAAGCTAAGAACCAACTGTTTAAATAAAAAACAAGAAAAAAATGGACGTTTATGAGTTATGACTGTTCTGAAAAGAAAAAGTTTAAAAAAAAAATTTACAGGCCCATATTCAAAGAGATTCTTCTAAAAAAAAGTGAAAAAAGAAAGGAAATTATAAGAAAGAGAAAGTGAAGAATGAGGGGGAGGAAAACGGAGGTACGAGAGAGAGGAATAAAAAGTATGAGAGAGGGAAAGGAAAGGAATAAGGGAGGGAAAGAGAAGAGTAAAGGGGGAAAGATTCTTTGTCCCTATAAGAAATATGTATACGGAAAGGATACGTTTTGTATACATTTTATGTACGTTTCTATAGATTCCGTATACAAATTCCGTATATTTAATAAGCAATTCATTTTTGAACATTTTTTAAAAAAACTAATGTATACGGAAAAAATTAATCAATACGGAATGTATACGGAATTTTAAACTTAATATTTTTAGAAAATAATTTTACAAAAATCTCGTATCATAACACGAGATCACGTGATTGTTTATTGTTTTGTTATGATACGTTTTTTGTTTTTTATATAAACCCTTACTTTGATG